GGAGTTCGAGACCAGCCTGGCCAACATGGCAAAACCCCCTTCTTTATTAAAAATACAAAAATTACCCAGGTCTGGTGGCAGGCGGCTGTAGTCCCTGCTACTTTGGAGGCTGAGGCAGGCGAATTTCTTGAACCCGGGAGGTGGAGGTTGCAGTGAGCTGAGATCGTGCCACTGCACTCCAGCCTGGGTGACAGAGTGAGACTCCATCTCACATGACTTCTTATTACTCAAGAAAATAGAAAACCTTGTCTTCCCATAAAGGACTTCATGATTAATTTTATTGTTTCTTCTGCAACTTCACTTTCTACTACATTTTACCTCACTTATTCCACTTCAGCCTTTCTTTCTGGTTTTCTTGCTCTTTTTTTGAACACTGTGGGCCCTCTTCTCGCTCAAGATCTTTGTCCTCTACTTCATATCTTCAAGTAGTTTATCTTATCACTTCTTCAAATCTCTCTGCCCTGTCAACTTTTGAACATATGAAACAATGGAAAACGAAGAAGATAGTAGAAAACCTGTAAGCTGGTTAAATCTAAATCATTGTTGACCTTAATGTTTACAGTATTAGAAATGGGGGCAGTGGGTTGGTTGGAAGAGTTAAGTTTCCTTTTTGCTTTGGTGGAATAATATGGAGTATAAGAAACTCTAGATATTGATTCAAAATATAATATTAAATATATATTTCAAATGTTTAAAGATGACCATAAGAATAAAAATATTTAATTTGTAAAGAATTTTGATGAAAAAAAGGAATAAAGAAAGCTCCATCAATCTGACACAAGCCAGGAAATAAAAAAGAAGGGAGAGAGGGAACGAGCAGGGAAAGAAGGAAAGGAGGAAGAAGAATAAGAAAACTGGTAAATAAAAAAGATATGATGTAGCTCTTCCTTAAATACAGACATATCTGATTTTATTGTGTTTGCTCTGTTGCACTTCTCAGATACTGTGTTTTATACAAATTGAAGGTTCGTGGCAGCCCAGTGTCAAGCAAATCTATCAGCTCCATTTGTTTTTCCCAACAATGTGTTTTCACTTTGTGTCTCTGTGTCATATTTTGCTAACTATTGTAATATTTCAAACTTGTTCATTATTATTCTATCTGGTGTGGTGGTCTGTGATCAGTAATCTTTAATGTTAGTGTTTTAATTATTTTGGGGTGCCATGAGCAGAACCCATATTAATTAGGAGTGAACATAACTGATAAATATTATGTGTATTCTGACTGTTCTCTCCCAACTATCTTTTTCCCCATTACACTCCCTCTCCCTGGGCCTCCAGATTTCCTGAGATTCAACAATATTGCAGTTAGGCCAACTAACTAACTATAGTGACCTCTAAGAGTTCAAGTGAAAAGAAGAGTCACATATCTCTCACTTTGAATCAAAAGCTAGAAAAACTTAGTGGGAAAGGCAGGTCAAAAGCTGAGACTGGCTATAACTAGGCCTTTTGCACCAAACAGCCAAGTTGTGAATGGAAAGGAAAAGTTACTGAAGGAAACAAAAAATGCTGTTTCATGAAAACAAAAATGATAAGAAAGTGAAACAGCCTTATTGCTGATATACAGAAAATTTTAGTGGTCTGGATAAAAGATTAAACCAGTCACAACAGTTTAAGCTAAAGCTTAATCCAGAGCAAGGCCCTAACTATCTTCAGTTTTACAAAGGGTGAGAGAGCTGAGGAAGCAGCAGAACACCTTAAAGCTACCAGAGATACAAGGAAAGAAGCCACCTACATAACATAAGAATACAAGGTAAAGCAGCAAGGGCTGATGTGAAAGCTGCAGCAAGTTATCCAAAAGATCTAGGTAAGATCACTGATGAAAGTGACTACATTAAACAACATATTTTCTTTTTAATTATACTTTAAGTTCTGGAAAACAAAGAAGCTAGTGAAAAAAACCAAACACATGTGGCTGCATAGTGTTCCATGGTGTATATGTGCCACATTTTCTTTATCCAATCTATCATTGATGGGCATTTGGGTTGGTTCCAAGTCTTTGCTATTTGAACAGTGCCACAATAAACATACGTGTGCATATGTCTTTATAGTAGAGTGATTTATAATCATTTGGGTATATACCCAGTAATGGGATTGCTGGTTCAAATGGTATTTCTAGTTCTAGATCATTGAGGAATCACCACAGTGTCTTCCACAATGGTTGAACTAATTTACACTTTCACCAACAGTCTAAAAGCATTCCTATTTCTCCACATCCTCTCCACCATCTGTTGTTTCCTGACTTTTTAATGAATGCCATTCTAACTGGCGTGAAATGGTATCTCATTGTGGTTTTGATTTGCATTTCTCTAATGACCAGTGATGATGAGTATTTTTTCATATGTTTCTTGGCTGCATAAATGTCTTCTTTTGAGAAGTGTCTATTCATATCCTTCACCCACTTTTTGATAGGGTTGTTTTTTTTCTTGTAAATTTGTTTAAGTTCTTTGTCGATTCTGTATATTAGCCTTTGGAGATGGATAGATTGCAAAAATTCCCTCACATTCTGTAGGTTGCTTGATGACAGTTTCTTTTGCTGCGCAGAACCTCTTTAGTTTAATTAGGTCACATTTGTCAATTTGGCTTTTGTTGCCATAGCTTTTGGTGTTTTATCATGAAGTCTTTGCCCATGCCTATGTCCTAAATGGTATTACCTAGGTTTTCTTCTAGGGTTTTTATGATTTTAGGTCTTATGTTTAAGTCTTTAATCTGTCTTGAGTTAATTTTTGTATAAGGTGTAAGGAAGGGATCCAGTTTCAGCTTTCTGCATATGGTTAGCCAGTTTTCCCAACACCATTTATTAAATAAAGAATCCTTTCCCCATTGCTTGTTTTTATCATGTTTGTCAAAGATGAGATGGTTATAGATGTGTGGTGCTATTTCTGAGGCCTCTGTTCTGTTTCATACATCTATATATCTGTTTTGGTACTGGTACCATGCTGTTTTGGTTACTGTAGCATTATAGTATAGTTTGAAGTCAGGTAGTGTGATGCCTCCAGCTTTGTTTTTTTTTTTTTCCTTAGGATTGTCTTGGCTATGTGGGCTCTTTTTTGGTTCCATATGAAATTTAAAGTAGTTTTTTCCAATTCTGTGAAGAAAGTCAGTGGTAGTTTCATGGGGATAACATTGAATCTATAAATTACTTTGGGCAGTATGGCCATTTTCATGATATTGATTCTTCTTATCCATGAGCATGGAATGTTTTTCCATCTGTTTGTGTCCTCTCTTATTTCCTTAAGCAGTGGTTTGTAGTCCTTCTTGAAGAGGTCCTTCTCATCCCTTGTAACTTGTATTCTTAGATTTTTTAATTCTCTTTGTAGCAATTGTGAATGGGAGTTCACTCATGATTTGGCTCTCTGTTTCTCTGTTATTCATGTATAGGAATGCTTGTGATTTTTGCACATTGATTTTGTATTATCCTGAGACTTTGCTGAAGTTGCTTTTCAGGTTAAGGAGATTTGGGCTGAGATGATGGGGTTTTCTAAATATACAATCATGTTATCTGCAAACAGAGATTATTTGACTTTCTCTACATATTTTCTATGTAGACAAAACAGCCTCCTATTAGAAGATGCCATCTAAGAGAAAGATAGAAAGGAGAAGTCAGCGCCTGGCTTCAAAGCTTCAAAGAACAGACTGACTTTCTTGTTAGGGTTAATGCAGCTGAGGACTTTAAGTTGAAGCCAATGTTCATTTAATATTCCAGAAATCCTAGGGCCCTTAAGAATTATGCTAAATCTACTATGCCTGTGCTCTATAAATGGAATAACAATGCCTAAATGACAACACATCTATTTACAGCATGGTTTACTGAATGTTTTAGGCCCTCTGTTGAGACCTGCTACTTAGAAAAAAAGATTCCTTTCAAAATATTGCTGCTCATTGATAATGTACCTAGTCACCCAAGAGCTTTGATGGAGGTGTACATTGAGATTAAAGCTGTTTTCATGCCTGCTAATATAATATCCATTCTTCAGCTCATGGTTCAAGGAGTAATTTCAATTTTAAAGTTGAAGACTTAAAAGTCTTATTATTTAAGAAATAAATTTCATAAGACATAGCTTCTGTAGATAGTGATTCCTCTGATGGAGCTGACCAAAGTAAACGGGAATCCTTCTGGAAAGGATTCACCATTCTAGATGCCATTTAAGAACGTTCACGATTCATGGGAAGAGGTCAAAATAGCAACATTAGCAGGAGTTTGGATGAAGTTGATTCTAACTTTCATGGATAACTTTGAGGGGTTCAAGATGTTAGTGGAGGAAGAAACTACAGATGTGGTAGAAATAGCAAGTGAACTAAAATTGGAAATGGATCCTAATATATGCTGAATTGCTGCAATCTCATGATAAAACCTGAATGGATGAGGAGTTGCCTCTTAGGGATGAGCAAATAAAGTGGTTTCCTGAGGTGAAATCTACTCCTGGTGAAAACGCTGTGAACATTGTTGAAATGACAACAAAAGATTTAGAATATTCCGTAAACTTAGTTGGTAAAGCAGTGGCAGGGTTTGAGAGGATTGACTCCAGTTTTGGAAGAAGTTTTACTGTGGTAAATGCTATGAAACAGCATCACATGCTATAGAGAAATCTTTCATAAAAGGAAGAATCCATGGATATGGCAAGTTTTATTGTTTTCTTAAAGAAATTGCCATAGCCAGCCCAGCCTTCAGCAATCATCTCCCTAATTTGTCAGCAGTTATCAACCTTGAGGCAAGACACTCCATTAGAAAAGTTATTTCAATGTGCTGAAGGCTCAGATGATCATTAACATTTTTAGCAATAAAGTATTTTTAATTACGGTAGATAAATTTCTTAGACATAATGCTATTCCACACTTATAAACATGACTTTTACATTCACCGAGAAACCAAAAACATTGTATGACTCACTTTATTGTGGTGGTCTAAAATGGTACCCACAATATGTCTGAAGTATGCCTGTATTTTGGATATTAACCTCTGTCAAATATGTGACTTGCAAATATTTTCTTCCATTTTGTAGGTTGTCTTTTCACTGTTGTTTGCTGTGTAGAAGCTTTTTAGTTTGATATAGTCCTACTTATGTATTTTGGATTATGTCAACAAGAAGCAATTCTAGAACCCAGCCAGCAGCCCTATCTGACTGCAGAGCTTAACCAGTGACCACCTGACCTTATCAGTATGGACAGCAGCTCTGCCCAACTGGAGAGCCTGACAGCAAGTACTGCCTACCTACCCATGGATGTTGTCTGCTGGCCGGTTCAGATCCAAAGGTTGGACTGACTGGTGAACTATTCCTGCTGAAGAAAACCTGTAAAGGCTGGAAGAAGTGGCTGCTTCCTTAAACGTGCTGACAGCAATGCAAGGATACAGGGATTATGAAGAATCATGGAAACATGACATAATCAAAGGAAAATAGTAAAGCTCAGTTAACCCTAAGTAAATGAATATATAAAAACTGACAACAAATTCAGATTAATCCTCTTAAAGTCCAGTCAACTATAAGAAAACATGATGGACAGCTAAATGAAATTAGGAAGACAACACATGATTAAACTCAGAGGTTCAACAAAGAAATAGAAAAAAAACCCCACAGAAATCCCAGAGATAAGAATACTATGACTAAACTGAAAAATTCAATAGGGATCTTCAAAGGCAGAGTTGATCAAATATAAGAAAGAATCAGTGAACTCAATGGGAGGTCATTTGAAATTATCCAGTCAGAATAAAAGAAAGAATGAAATGCAGAAGAAAGCCTACAGGAACTATGGGATGCAATTCAACAATATGTGCATTATAGGAATTTCAGAAGGAGGAGACAGAAAAGGTAGAAAGTTTCTTTAAAAAAAATAATGGCTGAAACTTCCCAAATTTGGTGAGAGAAATGGACATTCATGAGACACATTATAATTCCCAAAAGTTAAAGACAGAGAATTTTGAAAGCAGCCAAAGAGATTTATCACATACAAGGAAGGACCCATAATACTATTGGTGAATTTCTCAGTAGAAACTTTGTGGCCAAGAGGGTGTGGCATGATATATTGAAAGGAAAAAACCCTGCCAACCAAGAATACCACAGTTAGCAAATATTTCCTTCATAAATGAAGGAGATAAAAACTTTTCCGAACAAATGAAAGTAGAGGGAATTTATGGTCCTTATAAGGAATGCCAAGGAGACGTATTCAAGCTGAAAGGAAAGGACTCTGATTAGTAAAGCTAAATATAGAGTTAAAATCAGAGTCCTCTAATATTGTGATGGTTTTGTATAAATCACCTTAACTCTCATATAAAAGTTTTAATTAAAATATTAAATATAACTGTACAATAATTTTGTGAATACACAATATAAAAATATATATTATAACAGTAACCTAAAATGTGAGGGATTTAAAGGTAAAAATATAGAGATTTTATATGCAATTAAGGCTAAGTAGTTAACTGCTTAAAATAGAAAGTCCTAACATATTTTATGTAGACCTCATGGTGGCCACAAAGGAAATGTCTGTAGTAGATCTAGATATACATAAGTTTAACGGAAAGGAATCAAAGCATACCACTACAAAAAGTATCAGATCATAAGATAAGATAGAAAGAGAGGAATAAAGAGCAAAGAAACTACAAAACAGTAAGAAAAAATTAACAAGATATAAATAGGGAGACAGGGAGTCCTTCCCTGGTAATAATTTTAAATGTAAATGAATTAAACTCACCAATCAGTAGACAGTAGCTGAATGGATAGTTTTAAAAATCCAGTAATTTGCTGGCTATAAGAGACTCAGTTCAGCTTTAAGGACCCACATAGACTAAAAGTAAAGGGGTGGAAAAAATATTTCATGCAAATGATGGCAGAAAGAGAGCACAAGTGGCTATAATTTTATGAGGCAAAATAGACTTAAGTAAAAAATAGTCACAAGAGGCAATGAAGGCCATTATATAATATTAAAGGTGTCAATTCATCAAGAAAATATAATAATTATAAATATTTATGCACCAAACTTGGGAGCACTTAAATGTATAGAAAAAATACTAACAGAACTGAAAGGAGAAATAAACTGATCCAAACAGTAGGGAACTTTAATACCCTACTCTCAGTAATGCATACATTATCCAGAAAATCCATAAGGACTTAGCAGATTTGAACAACACTATAGACCAAATGGACTGAACATATACGGAATATGCCATCCAACAGCAGCAGGTTTGTATTCTTCTCAAGCCTGAAGAACATTTTCCAGGATAGACTGTATGTTAGGCCACAAAATATCTCAGCAAATTTAAGAAGATTGAAATCATGTCAAGTATTTTTTATTATAATAATATGAAACTAAATATCAATTCAATAACAGGAAAATTGGAAAACTTATAAAACTTATTAAAATATGGACACTCTTGATCAACCAGTAGGTCAAAGAAGAAATCAAAATGGAAATTTAAAAATACCTTGAGAGAAACAGAAATGGAAACACAACATACCAAAATTTACAAGGTGAAACTAGAGCATTTGTAAGAGGAAATATAGGTGTAAACACCTACATTAAGAAAAAATAAGCTTCTCAGATAAACAACCTAACTTTATGACTCATAGAACTAGAAAAAGAAGAACAAACTAAGCTCAACTTTAGCAGAAAGAAAGAAATAATAAAGATTACAGTGGAACTAAATGAAATAGAGACTAGAAGAACAATAGAAAAGATCAGTGAAACTAAGATGAGGTTTTTTGAAAAAATAAATTGAAAGATGTTTAGCTAGACTAACCAAGATAAAAAGGGGAATGGAGCTTCAATAGTTTATAATATTTCTATACCTGGCTTGCTTCCAAAGAGAAGAGGCAGGGCTTAATGAAGAGTAACACAGACAAGACCAATCTGCAGGAAGCAGCATTTCTCATAGCAGCCAAGAAAATACATTATTTACTTGTAAAACAACAGCAAAACAGTTCTATAATAAAAATAGCCTGGCTAATGGAATTCACCAGTAAACAACTCCTAAATTTATATGTAATATTTGAACAGCATAGAAAATAGCCCAAGCCCCTCCGCTACATAACTTTCTATAAACAAATGGTCCAAGAAAAACTCTTCTTTCAAAAATGAGTCCTGAAGAAGGAACCAGCACAGTATCTGTACAAATATATTAGAATAAGGGTGGAGGAAAGAAATAGGAAAAGTAAAGGCAGGAAAATACATTTCAACAGAGGTAAGTTGCAACAGAGCAGATGAAAATATTTTACTATGAATTAAAAATGTTAATGAAATAATTTTCTCTTAAAAGTACCTTTGCAAGACGGAAATAAATGTAAAATTGATGGGAAAAGATGGTGAGACAACAGGAACAGATAAAAGGATGCTGGCAGATAAAGTGATGGAAGTAAAAGAAAATAAAATTATCTCAAAAAAATGTTTTGATGGTTTCGTGTGTATATATTAAAGCTGATCAAATTGTACATTTAAATATGTTGAACTTATTACATTTAATTATGCATCCTACAGTAAATAAAAGAAAAACTTACAGATACATATGATAATGTGGATGAATCTTAAAAACACCATGTTAATTAAAAGAAATCAGACATAAGAAGAAATGAAATAAAATGCACAGGCCTTAAGTATTCAGTTTAATAAGATTTTTGACAGCTGTCTGGATACGTACCCACCGCCTCGCTCACAATACATCTCAACTCCAAAGCTTCCCATAAGGTAGCTTGAACCCTCTTTTGAAACTGCCATGCAGTACAGCTTCTCCTGCCCAGTCCTGCCTTCCTAAGTTTCCTACAGTTGTTCCTAAGTGCACTCCCCGTAGATATACTGCACACAGATCTGCATCTCAGAGTCTTTTCTTCAGAAATCCTACCTGAGACACTCCAAAAAGAAAATCTCAATTATTCTGAAAGGTCAAAATAGCATGGATAATATTCTATTAATAGTATAAATAGCATCAATGTTTATAAATACTATGCATAAATAGTAGAGAAAATGCAATGAAACTACAATTTATTACAAAACTGGAAAAGGTAAGTCACTACCATGTAGATATTAAACAGAAAAATGCTTTTAAAAATTCTTCGGTTAAGGAGAAAATCTGAGCACGTTGCAGAATATCCCTAAAAGAATAATATTCTGGGGCTGGGTGGGGTGGCTGAAGCCTGTAATCCCAGCACTTTGGGAGGCTGGGGCGGGTGGATCACGAGGTCAACAGATCCAGACCATCCTGGTCAACATGGTGAAACCCCATCACTACTAAAAATACAAAAATTAGCTGGGCATGGTGGTGGGCGCCTGTAATCCGAGCTACTCAGGAGGCTGAGGAAGGAGAATTGCCTGAACCCAGGAGGCGGAGGTTGCGGTAAGCAGAGATCACGCCATTGCACTCCAGGCTGGGTATCAAGAGTGAAACTCTGCCTCAAAAAAAAAAAAAGAAAGAAAGGAAAAAGAAAAAAGAAAAGAATAATATTCTGTAATTATTGGAACCCATAGGATAAAGCTGAAATGGTGATCAAAAAAAATTTGTAGCCTTATATATTTAATAAATAAAAAATCAGAATAAACATTCAGCAAATGAATTAAGAAAAATAACCAGAATCTAAAGATTAAAATAGAAATTAATATTTGTAAAATTAATCAATACAAGATTTTTTGGAAAATAAAATAAAAAGCAATAAAATAGATAAACCTTTAACCTACCTACTTAAGAAAAAAAGAAAGCACAAAAGCAGAACCATACAAATAAGAAGTGGTAAGTGAACGTAATCCTAGACCTAGATGCAGGAAAAACAAAATCGTGGCGGACTACTTAATTCTCTTCAAATAAATTTGAAACCCTAAATGAAATGGATAAATTTCTAGGAAAATATAATGCACCAAAACTCACTCCAGAACAGATAGAATATCAAAACTAATTGTCAAAAAGCTGCCTTCCGCTGTAATAAATATGAGTCCAAATGCAACTAAGTGATACCACATCAATAAAGAGCAGATAAATTCAATCTCATTGAAACTACTATAGAACATGGAAAAAGAAAGATATATTCCAAACTTTTCTGGAGTATTGTGTCAAATAAAAATGAACAAATCTCATATTAGTGCAGAAAATTTAGATAAAATATTGGCAGATAAATTTGGCGGCACACCAAAAAATTGTGCCAAAACCAGGTACAGTTTATTCTAGAATGCAAGGATAACTCAATACTAAGAAAATTACCAATAATCCTTTTAATAGATTTATGATAGAAAACAATGATAGCCTATATAGATGCTAGAATGGATACTTAAGAAAATATTCATTTCTGTAGGAAATAAAATATAGTTACTTCCAGTTACTTTCTTAGTATATTAAAATAGGCTAAATCAAATCAAAAGCTGGTATAGTGTTTTCCAGGAAACAGAAGGACTTCACTAAAATCAGGAACAAGTCAAGTATGTCCATCCATAAGACTGTTTAGTATCACTCAAGGGGAACTTAATAACCAGGGAAATAAGAAAGGAAAAGTAAATTAGAGGTATAAAGATAAAAGAAAAGGAGATAAAATAATCAGTCTTTACAGTTAGTTGTTTGAATTCCTAGGAACAGGAATCAACTGAAAAACTCCTATAAAAAAATAGGAAAAAATATATAAAATAAAATGCCCGGAAATAAACTAGATCTGTACAGAGCAAACTTTAAAACAATCCTTTGAAACACAGATAAAGACCTAAACAAATGGAAAAGAATACCATATTATTTGATTAGGAAGACACAGCATTCCAAAATGTCAACATGATCCAAATAAAATTTAACATGATGGAAATAAAATTACCAGTAAGACATTTTTAAGGGGCAGAGAATCTACACAAGCTGACTGTGAAATTCATATGGAAAATCAAATAAGCAAAAACACCAAGAAAAATCTGATGTAGAGGGGTAATAAGAGAGAGATAGCCTTGACCAATGTTAAAATTTTAAATACAGCATTATTAGTTAAAATATACTCAAATGTAAAACTTTAATAAAAAGAGAGGGATCAGAATAGAAAGCTCAGACACTGACATAAAGATTTATGAAATCACTGGGAGAAAGATGGACTATTTGCCAAGTGGTGACGGGACAACTGAGTATGATTTTATGTAATAATCTTCTAAGTGATTACAAATGGATACAAAAATTTTCACTGAAAAATAATAAAAGCAAAACAAAAGTTGTGGTTTGAAAGTATTTTCTGTGTACTTCATTGTGGATAATGCTTTTTAAAGTATCCACTAAATTCAAAAGTGTGGGAAAGGAAAAGATTCATTAATTTGAGTACATACAAAATTAAAAATATTTTTCTTTGACATTACTGTCAAAAGAAAAAACAAATTATGAAAAAATTGAAATATATACAATAGGCAAATATGATTTCTCTAATATATAAAAAACTGTAAATCCCTAAGAAAGACAAAAAATTACAAAGAAAATATAATTTCTTAAGGCTGATGTTCAACTTCGTTTATAGTGAGAGAACGGAAACTAAAATACAGTGAAAAAACAAACTACTCTGAAATAACAGTGGTATTTTGCTAAGCATGTGGAGAAACAGATACTTTCATTCATTATTTGTGAAGATATATATTAGTACTATCTTGAATGGAGAACAGGGATAGAATTAAGTAACAGCTGTCAAAATTATGCACGCCGTTTGATTCAGCAGTTTCAATTCTAGCCATATATCCTAGAGATGCAAAATTAATATCTGAGTGCCATTATTTATTGTAACACTGCTTATGCTAGCAAAAGATTAGAAACAGCCCCAACATGTAACTAACCTGTTCTCATTGTCACAAAGCCATGAACTGAGGCACTCTGTCCAACCAGATCAAGGAGCAACTTTTTGTTACCCACACATAGGTGTGGTATGAGCTAGCATTTACTGATTTCTCAAAGGGGCAACTTAAAGGCTTGTGAAGCAATCCTTGATTTTTTTAATAATTTTTCTTCAATCATTTATTGTTGTCTTGCCCACAGATAACTTACCACACATAATTAAACTTTGATCCCATTTGTCTTTCTCAACTTCTTCTAAAGCATTTCTAATCTAGTATCTATAAGATATAAACAGTTCTTTCTTCAGTAATCTTTCATTGGTTTATGTAACAATTAAATGAATTTTGCAACTAACCTGTTACAAATAATATATGCACATTGAGGAATAAGTAGAACCTGACTCTTGGTGTTAGGTCAACTAGTGGAAGTAGTTGTGCCTCTGGCATGATTAAAAATAGCCTGCCTGCTGTAAGCACTCACCAAGTAACATATCATTGGTATATCTGAAAGAGAGGTGGGGGGGCTTTGTTTAATCTGGGAAGTTGGTTAAGTATTTATTGAAGAGAATTTTTATTGCATACTGACAGTAAGTAAAGAGCAATCTGCTATATTCCAAAATAATTAAAATCAGAGTAATCCTCATAAAAAAAGATTTGTTAGTATCTTCACACTTGTATGTTATTACTGCTTTGTCTTTATTATGACTTCCATATAAGCTCAGTTTCTTTCCAATATGTTACAGGCTTTGGCCAGAGAGTTACAAAATGATGTCCATGTGGTAAGGCGACAAATAAGAGAGCTTAAAAAAATGAAGAAAAACAGGGACATCTGTAAAACCTCAACCCATAAAGCCCAGACCTTGGCAGCTTCTATCCTGAACATTTCACGGTCAGATCTAGAGGAAATATTAGACACAGAAGATGAAGTGGTAAGATCAGTTAAGTATTTATTAGTAAAGTGTTTATTACACATTGGACTTAAGTACATATTTTATTTGTTTATATCTTGTAATTTCATCTTTAAGATAGTATTAATGAAGGTAAGATTGTTAAAATGCCAATGAAAGATATATGTTAAGTATTAACGGACTCAAAAAGCCTTTAAAGAAATTCAACTGTATAATATAGAAATAAACTAGTACTTATAACCTTTTGAATTACTTGTTATTAAATTCAGTTATTCTTTCCTATCTATTCCATTTTAACTTAATTTTGTTATATATTGTGGAAGCCAGTATACTTAATTAAGCTAGCTTGAATGGATTTAGTTAAGCTGAGTCTCCATTGATTTGAAGTTTTTTTCTCCTTAAGAGATTTTTTTAAAAGGGCTAATCTATTACTTTCATAGCTAAATTTAAAATAATTATTAATCAATATATCTTTTGAAAATATATTGTTGAAAAATATTTATTTCTTAAAATTGGGCAAAATACTTCTCTGTGAATTTATATGCATACAGGTATACTCTTTAGTAGCCTTTCAGCACCTCCTGGGGAAAACACTGCATTTTTGACATAGTCACTACCTCATAAACAGTAGACTCTCATCCCATGCAGTCTTTTGCGAAACATGTGTGGGATGTCATTGCTACCCTACTGTACCTCTGAGCTTTAATTCTTGCATATTAGATATTTATCATTTGGAATGGCAAAAGATGATGGCAGCAGCTTCTCACCAAATATTTGTTCAACAATAGACTTGGGTGTTTGTATGAGATCATCCTGTAGCCTCTCATCAGCTTTTGAAAGATCTCTGGAATAGAGCAAATCTACAATATGCAAAGATTTTTGAACTGCCAAGAATCGTTAGAAAATAGTTCAAAGAAATCCTACAGGTATTATTCTCATCCCATGGGTGACTTACCAGTTTCTGTTTTCAGCAGCTATGCCAAAATGTCTATTACTTTTTATCAAATTCTAAACTTTGAAGTATAAGAACAATATCACATATAGTATCAAATGTAAGACACATGGGAATGATTACTTTTGGCAAGGGTGTTAACTAAGCCTTATTATAGGCATTTAATTAAAATATGTTGATTGATGAGAAACCTAACAAAAAATTAAGAATAAGGCCTCTACTGTTGACTAGGAATTTTAAAACACTCAGATTTAGCATAGTCCCTCATATGAGTATGTCTGTAGGCATGTATGTGTTTATACATGCACACATGTACTTACATTAACACATGTACATAATTCTGGAACACAGAGCCACCATTTTGAGACCAAGAAGTCTCTAAAATGAGGCACTCTCTGGGCTAAGAAATTAGAGAAAAACACCCTCTTTGAGTGAGTAAGTTAGAAAAGTTGTCCTCTTTGAATATATGAATTAGAAAAGGATCTCTCTTGATAGCCCCAAAGACTAGATGGCACATGTCTGTGAAGAAATGGCACCTCTGCCTCTGGGCAGGTAGAGTCTAAGACAGAGTACACAGCACTGTAACATGCATTTCACACAATCTTAAATCAAGTCCCTCCTGGAAGAAAAAGAGATATAAACACACTGTTCTGAGAGAGATAGGTATATTTTGATATATTTACTAGATTTCTTTATAGACCAGAGCTTATTTAGACTGATTGTGACATCTTCTAGAGGTCCAAGGAGTTGCCCAGGCAGAGCTCAGATCACTTGATTTATGTTCTTTACACTATATTGAACTATGGTAAATTCACATCAAAACTATGATAGCCTATCTGAAGTACCTAGCCTGATACCTGCCATACAGTAAATTTCAATAAATAATAGTTTCTCATCCCCTTCCTTTCTTGGAAAGTCTATTTTTTTTGTAAACTGAATTACAATTTCAAGTGAATCATCAACTGCACATGTGAATACATTTCAATTCCATAAATATTCTATCATGATAATTGATTCGTTGAAAATACTTCATGACTTACAGCACTTTAAGTTGGTATGTCCCTTGCCTATCAGTAGATTATTGGATAGATATACCAGAGTCATGCCATGATCTATTCTGTTTGTAATGATAACAATTACCACTTAATTATCTGTTGACAAATCAGATTTTGGAATATTAGGTTTCATGTTATCTCACAAGGGTCACCTATAAATGATTCTTTTATATAACTCCATCTTGTTTTTCACTTTAATTGCTTTCACTCCCATATTAGCCCCTACTTTGAGCTCCACTGTGAAGGTAAAAATTAAATATTTCTGAATTACTGTGAAATATATAAATATAACTTCCATAGTATGTATTTATAAATTAAAATTTAAAGAGCATGGATTTAAATATTTCTAATTGAAGATGACAGACTGTTCTTTGTTGACTAATTCTAGTGATATTACTCTAGACTTACTCAGTATCTAATAGTAAAATCAACTTCATATAAATTCTATTAACACCAGTGTTTTTATTTTCTTTCTTCAGGAAATTGAAAAAACAAAAATTGATGCTGAAAATGACAAGGAATGGATGTTGTACATTCAGAAACTTCTTGAAGGACAGGTATTTCATTTTACTGTTTCATATATTTAACTTCCAAATAAGAATTCCACACCTTACATTTTCACCAGATGTCTAACTTTTATAAACACTTCCCTATTATTTACTTCTGTTAGGTAAAGAAGTATTCCAGTAGGTAGAAAGGAAAGTTAACCCTCTATTTGTACTTTTGGACTTAACAAATGAAACAAATGCCTTGGGATAGAGCCAACATGGGTCTTAGCAAATGCATTAATTAAATTATTGAGTCAACCTCTGTGCTTGCTAGACTGAAAAGGATCCATTCTCTCAGACCTCTTAGGAAAAGAGATTCTTTATTATGTATCTTTAAAGTTAGTAGTTGATATGGACACCTGAGGAGTTCATGAGTTTCAGTGACCTTTTACTATGGACCTGTTTCCAGTCAATTCATGTTTTCCTCACAGCCAGACAGCTGTTTATTACTGTGTCTTCCCGCATTCTCTACAATATTTTCTACTGAGACCTCGAGCAGCTTGTTAGTGGGAAGTAAATATTGATTTGGCATCCTGTCAATGCAGAAAGAATGAAAAAATTTCCACCAGAGGCCCCTCAAACATTTTCCTATCGACATTTTCTGGGCCGAGTGGAAAGCTGCATAGAGGATGACAAGGCCAAGACGAGTTGAAATCCCTTAGGGGTCTATTGAGACTGCTGCTGTGACCTGTGTGATACTTTTTCTTCCCTTTCAAGTATTTTTTTAATACACATATAGTCTGTGGGGATGCGCCCCTCTTGTAAGTGATCAAGGGCAGTTTATTGGCAGGTGAGAGCCCTGCTTTTCTAGTCATAGCCAGCTTTTGTTTTGACATCACTGACAGCATGTAATGTATTCTAAAACTTTTTCATTATAGTTCTTTTGGCTCAACCTAATTGCTTATTTTTTAAATGGACTGGAATAAATAAAAGCCAAAACATATTTGTCAAAATACCTCCAAAATTGTTCTGTGATTTTTGGAAAGTCATTGTAAATGTTTCTGTGTAAAGATTAAAATTGAAACTGATATTAAATGCAATTATTTTACATTTGTATTAACAAGTATTAGTTGCTGTGCTTTTGGTAAAGTCAAGAATAAGTAAATAGTATATAAACTATTCATATTAGTATCTGTGATATATTTTTGAAACATTGTCTAGAATCACTTTAATAACAATAGAAGATTGCTTAAAGTTGTTTAAGTGTAGATGTGCAGGCACTAGACAAAGTCTTTTACACTGACTACTTGCTTTTGAGAACAGAGTCCATTTCTTATTCATGTGGTATTCCCAGAACCTAGCTCAGTGGCTGGTGCATCAATGAGTTTAGTAATGATTGTAATGAGGTTTTTTTTTTTTCAGCATAAAAATGCAAAAATGAACTTTTTCAGCATAAAAATGAAAAAATGAACATTTTATTTACAAAATGTTCACTTTGTAAATAAGGCTTATATTTATTTGAATTAGAAATTTTATCATCGCCGGGTGCGGTGGGTCAAGCCTGTAATCCCAGCACTTTGGGAGGCTGAGGCGGGTGGATCACGAGGTCAACAGATCAAGACCATCCTGGTCAACATGGTGAAACCCCATCTCTACTAAAAATACAAAAAATTAGCTGGGCATGGTGGCGCGTGCCTGTAATCCCAGCTACTCAGGAGGCTGAGGCAGGAGAATTGCCTGAACCCAGGAGGCGGAGGTTGCGGTGAGCCAAGATTGCACCATTGCACTCCAGCCTGGGTAACAAGAGTGAAACTCTGTCTCAAAAAAAAAAAAAAAGAAATTTTATCATCAATTTTGACTATAAAAATAATAAATCTGTTTGTGTAAAGCTTTGTTAAATTTTACAAAAGCTGTACTGACACTGGACCTGGGTTTTTTTGGTGAACACATGGAGAGGTACATACACACATTCTACATTACCTGAGTGTGCTTAATCTGTCCAGAAAGTGTAAAAAAATCCTGTTGAAAATGGCATCAGACTGCTTAATATTCCAGCTTGATATAGTACCTTTTTGTGCCACTGAGCCTGGATTCTGGAATATAATTGCCAGGCAGTATTGATTTAATTGCCCAGGTTTATTTGTGGACTCCTAATTATTGACTGGAGGTAAATTTAATGGAGCAGCCTTTATGAACACTGGGAAACCGCTGCTGTTGCTGTTATACATAATGAACTGCATCATGTGCCTTTAGATCATTTTTCAAGCTAATTTTATTCCACTGTGACAGTATGATAACATTTAAAAAGTCAAAGACTTTT